GTCAAATTTTTATGATATCTTCAAACATATATTTTATTCAAAAATAAAAACATCATCGATTTCTCAAAATCACATAAAGTCATATTATAACATCGACTGAGATTAAGAATAAAATGAAATATTAAAATCACGATGTATCTCGCTGCATTGCGCGAGTACGCTTCTAGTATATATATAATATATTTCCGTTTATTTTATAAGTGTTTAATCATGAGATATTAATTTATATTTTTTAATTTTATAGAATGTTGGTTGGATCTGGAGAATTAAGGGTGGATTGAATTGTCGTGGACTTGTAGTTAAGTTGCCGGCGATATTTCTATTATTTAGTTTTTACTTTTTAGTAGCTCAATGTTGCTACTCATCACTTCCCAATATGTATGGGTGAGACTTGAGAATGGTAATTCTATGTTTTTAGTGATTGAACGGATGAAATTAAGTATATTAAAATATTATATCAATTATTGTAAATCGGATTTAAGATATTGGATCAGATCGTCCATTGGATGTCGGATGGATTCAATCTAATCCGATTAATGGTTGGATCCAATCCGATCCAATAAGAATATCCAATGGATGAAACCGAACCAATCTAATCATCCATTGAATTGGATTGGATTGGATCGATTGGAAAAATCCAACATCTAATGGATGATTGGATCGGTTTGGTTCCCATCACATCCATTAGATGTCAACCAATGAACAACCCTAATTTAAATCGTTCGGAAATCGAGCACAATCATCTAAAAACGTAGCCGACATGGGCCATTGGAATGAATGAATCGATACAAATCTTCTAACAATAGATGCTCTTCCATTATATTTGATGAATAAATCGATACGTAAATCTAGTCCCCGAAAATTACAACCCATTTTTCCCAACAAAAAGAAATCAATACCATACAGTACAAAATCCTCTATACATGACTCTGAATTATACACGCACGTACTCCTGCCTTCCCCCTGCTAGTACATAAACACGGGAATTTCCAAAACTTCCCGTTATGGGTATTTGCGTGTTTGAGGAGGATGGTATACAGTCATTCTGTGTAAGCCAAATACTTGAAACAAACAAATTACTTTGTAATGAAAGAAATGATCAGAAAAGAATCTCCTTAAGGATTAACAAGACCAACATTACAAAGCACATGATAACAAGTACTGTAGCACACATTACCATTCCCCCTCGTTTCTGGCTTCGTTCCGCCTGCAAATTCCATTTCAAGGTTCAAAACCGTAGTTAGAGAAATACGTAAAAGAAACGAACCCAGTATGCGCTGCTTGAAAGTAGGAACGGATGGGAGGTCTAGAGGATATAAAGTTAAGCATAACCTTTTGCAGCTGTTTAAGGCCTTCGTCCACGGATGCTGCAACATTCTGAATGTTGTGGTCTATTCTATCAACAATAGTTCCCTGTTTCAACAAAAATAAATCCAGTTATATACCATGCGAACCATAACCCTCGTTTAGCACCATTAGCTACCTCATTTGGAGCTTATTGAAAAAGTCATATTTGGTAAGTCATAAGCTAGTTTTTTGAAAAACTATTTCATATAGCATTTCAGTATGTTCCAGGGGCTCTTTTTCAAATTATACCCCTTGTATTTTAGAATTGAGTAATGTAGATCGTGTTACATTGTCATCTTAGCTTATTGGCTAGTTTTTTTATACCAAATATGACTATTTTATGAGAAGCTAGTTTTTCAGCCAACAGCTGGCTTATCAGCTAATTTGCCAAACATAGCCTTAAAATTCACGACTAATTTTCTGACCTGGTCGATCACAAGGACAGAGAGATCCTTCATGATCTGTGCCAGCTCGTTTACTGATTCCACAACCTTCAGGGGATGGTAAAAGGATCATCAGATTAGTATAGAGACAGGAATATAAACACACATAAACTGCATTGCACCGACCTGTTGAATCTCTTTCTCTCTTTCCACTGTGAAAGCCTCGCTTTTCTTCAATTTTGCCATCTGATGTTCGTTGAAACCCTACATAGATGATTTTGATGTCTTAAAATAAGAAATCTTTACACATATTAACAATGTAAGTTAGTATTATGTGGTAAGTGCAGACAAAGGCAAATCATCAAAAATATGGGGAATAAGTCATATTTTCTTTGGCTTTAGAAGAATGGAAACTTGAGACTCGCCTCAAATGCTGCAAACATACTAGCAAAGATCATGAGCACACTAGCATTTTGTTCCTTTTAAAGGCTCATTCAAGACCCAATCTCAATAAAGCTGTAGGTAAAACGAACAATAACAGACTGAAGATTTGCAGAGTTCACCTTAGAGAAGCTAGCCAACTAATTGTGATCGTACATGAGACGAGCAAAGTTGAGCTTTTAAACTCGTTTTTCAAGTTATTTGTTTGTTTACGTCTCAAGGTTATTACTAAACATTCTAGAGTAACGATAGTAGTTTAAAACCCCATTAATAGGCTAATTTTACATTTAATTTAACTACTCCTAAGATATACAATAAAATGCATGCATCATACAAGTACCATGCTCTTTACCTAATATGGTGAATTATTCTAGCTTTGTAAATTTTATCTAATGAACTACAGAATTTGATTTGAATCCGCACTATATTACTTGCTTAATAAGATATAAGACTTTTGGTTTTTGCCTACTGGAGGTGGACAGAGATTACAGAAAAGTAATCAAACGTTGAGTTCCGTGAACCTTGATAACTATTTGTGGCTTCGTTTGTTTCAAATGAACTGAAATCAAGAGAGCTTGAACTTGATTAATAATCTCAAGTCCAGCTTGGTTCATTTTGTGAGCTAGTCTACAAGTATTTTCCGAACTTGAGCCTACATTTTAAACAATCAATCCAAAGCCAAGTTGCCTATAGTCTAGCTTGTTCATCTTTTTCAGGCCCTAAATCCATTTAGCAAAGAAGGCATGAGAAATCATGTAAAGTAACGAACAATGATATATCATACAGCAAAAATGAAGAAGATGAACTTCGCCATTTTCGGTTCATATGAGATTCTTTAAATTGATTACTAGATTAGCAATTTAATTTTGAAAGCTACCAGACAAGACTAGGATTTTCCAATTTACCCCATTTTTCTGTTCATACATATTTAGATTATTGCAGAAACATAAGACTCCCCATGTCCCAAACTGTGTGGCCCTTTACATCCAGATGTTCGATATAAGTCATCTTACCCCCAAGCTAATATGGTAAAAGAAACAATTACTTTTACACTATTACCCTATCTCTCATATTTCATATGGTAGGAATATGAAAAAGAAAGAATTAGGGGATAATTTTGAAGAAAATTAGTTTTTAGAATTTGGTCTCACACCATCCACCAGTAGTGCAAGGAAAGTACTTTCCTTTGTTAGTGATACAGGGGAAGATTGGAAAATTGCATGATGAACATATTTCTCTAACAACAATACAGAGCATGGCAAGTCCATGAGGACACTTGTCCACAACTGAAGTAGTTACATGGAAGTTGCAACAACCAAAGGGCATTTGGCCTAGCGGTATTGTAACCCTTGGCCTTCTAGGAGGTGAAGGGTTCAAACCTCACCATAGGTGAGGAGGGTGTGTGAGTTTATTTGTTGCATTTGCTGTATATAAATTTTATATACTTCAAAAAAAAAAAGTTGGAACAACTGTAATCCCAACCACATGAACGAGGAAATACACTATAGCAGAGTACAAAATAAGTAAATGGTGAGTAAATATTAGCAAAAAGAGAAAATTCGACATACCAAGTCATCAAACTCATCATCATCCCTTTTAGAATGCTTTCCATTTAAGTTCATTTCCAGATCAACACCATCTGGACCCTAGAAGAAAGGCAAAGTAACACCTATTAACAAAAGGTGTCTGAAGTCCTTAAAAGTCAAATAGAAAATTGTTGATAAGCTAGCACCGGCATTTGCAAAGAAGGGGCACTATATCATATGAATATAATCAGTTGATTCTATGTATCAGATTACCACATCGTATGTTTATGAACTTGTACTAAATTTATAATTAAGAGAGTCTAAGAAACCTCTTTCTGCTGCTGAAGGCGCTTCAAATAAGTGGACTGCTTCTTCCGGAGTTCCATTGAAAGGCTTTGAAGATCAGTGGCAAGAGAACGCTGCCATAAAAGTTTATAATAACACATGATTACAGATTATTAAGCAATTCATTTAAGATGTAAAAACTCCAGGTCTCTTAACACATGATTACAGATTATTAAGCAATTCATTTGAGATGTAAAAGCTCCAGGCCTCTATACCAGAGCCCAGTAGAGCTGGGGCCGTTCAAATATTGTAGTACAACTTATTGTCATCACTAAGTTTAAACAAATTATACTTCTTATGCATGTAAGATGAAAAGGGAAAAACCAATAAGTTTGTGGCTACATGCACATTTCTACAGTAAGAGTTAAAAGGACTGTCCCCAGACAAATAATTATATGAATAGTTTGGTAGACGAATATTTGATGGCCTATAATAACTAGTAAATACATTTCCATTACCGGTGAATGACATGAAAGGTCAAATTTGCACTTTGAATAGAAAGGCATGAAAATGCTAAGAGAAAACTATTTCCAAACATTTAACAAGTTATAATCCAATGAGCAGGTGACGATCAAGTGATGCCTGCACATTTCTTCAAAAAGAAAATTACAATGCATCAAACAAAAGCATCTATGATAAAAACATATAACAACTTAACTTATAATCTTTTTCCAACGAAATCAGTAAGAAAACTGCACCCCTGACACAGTTTTTATAATCATTTAAGATTCAGGTTTGGTGGGTAAACAGGTCCGAGAATATGTTAATTGAAAACAAAACTTGGAGAGCGTAGAGAATGGAAGGGAGATGATCTGAAGTCAGAAATGCTTTTCCAACTATAAGCAAGTGTTATCAATTTTCAGCCAATCAGTCACCATTTTTGAGATGGAATTATACCTGCACATTTTTCCTGATACTTGAATCCTCAGAATTCCCACCAGCAGATAATCTCTTCAATCTCCTTTCTGACTTTTTGAGGAGATCAGTTATCTCATGGGTAAGGGCCTCAATCCTGTGTTGATCTTCTCTCCCATCCCCAAACGAGGGCATCAAAGCCTTGGCATGAGCCTTCGCTAGCTCCGCCATTTTAGACTTCGCACGTTGCACATTTGTTGCTATTTCATCAGATACATCAACCCAAGCAGGAGGAAGACCCACGGTTAGTGCCCCTGCGCTGCAAAACAAGAATAAACCTTCACCAGTCACTACAAAGCAAGAGCATGGACAAAGTATCTCCGTTACAAATACAAGAAATTGCTTATCAGGAACGAAAAGAATTATATGAGTCCAATCAAAGAATATGAGAGCCTAGAAGGTAACTTAGACAGCTTGAGGCTTCATTGAACCATATGTGGCTCTGTATCAGATACTTATTCACCCACTCAAAACCAAATTAAAAAAATTGAACTGATCCTTTATATTGAGAAACTGTATATGGTAAAATACAGGGACCATACAAATCCAAGAATCCCATGTAGATCCCTAAGTTGTTATCGGAATAAAGTAGATGTAGGGTTAGATATGGTACAACTGTACAAGAAATTAATTCAATGTTGATCAGCAATCTCCCTGTCAAGAACCTTCATAACCAGCAAGCAGAGTTCTTCTAGACTTGTCATTTTTGTGTTTGTCTTCAATTGGCAATAATTTCTAAATTTGCATACATATACAACAGAAAATACGCATAAATCTACTTATTGGACCCTCAAGAGAATATTGAAAGTAGAGAAGGCCACCCCTGCACAAGCTCTCACTGCTACTGGTCAGAGAATGATGCATAATATCCATCCTAGAAACCCAGTGGAATTTCAAGCTTAGGACTGGTGATGCATCCATTAGTATGTCACAAAAGGAATTGTGTGATTTCATATCATTATAGCTTGCTTATCTTGAGTCTATAAAACACATGATTGACTATCTCATGGAGTGACAAGATCTTACCTATCAATTAACAGCATGACAAGGTTTTGGGCATGATGAATAGTTTGTCCTTGTCTGCAACATGAATAGCTTATGTTGTGGGAAAGAAAGAAGAAGAAAAAGAAGTCAACACCAGAACATATCACAGATGCCTGTGAGAGAAATGTTCTCGATGGGATAACAATGAATGATGATTTATTCATATGTTGCAAAAATCAATTAAGCTGCTTCTATTGACATCAGACAGTCATATTTATCTTGGACTTCAAATTGATTCTCCAAATACGATAGACCTCACATATAGGCTGAAATTTGACGAAAGCTCCATGTGTAGGAATTCGAGGCTAACCACTATTGGCGGTGTCGTCAAGCATTTTGTGTAGTTGGGATTACTTGAGATAGAATAAGTTTTAAGTTGAGCATTCTAATCAAGTTAGCTGATGGGAGCGCACGTTTGTACAAGCCAGCTTAAACCATAGATCGCCATATAGCCACCCGCCCCCCCTGGGGGAGTGTCAAGGGGGCTGCACCCCCTGTCATGGCCCACCGTTGACCGATCAGCGAGCAGGGTCAAAGGAGAGCTCCCCCAGACCATTTTCGTCTACGCTAACTATGGCTAGGAGATCACTCGGATCGGCTGTCTGAGTTCAGCTCGGTGCGTCAAATTGGTGCTCAGCGTTGACTTCAGTGTGCTCATTTCAGGGAGAAATTTTAGGTGTCCCAATTTCGGTGCCTCCGAAAAATTGATCCTTATCTTTTTGCAACTGTTGGTAACTACCCATAGCCACTATAAATAACTACCTATAAAAGGTTGCTTATCTCATTTTTGGATATACAAACACAATAAATATGTTATATACTCGAGTATTTGCTAGAAACGAGAGTGAGAATGTGGATCATACCAGTACAAATTTTGAGATACCTAAGGCAACAGTGGGTCGAAATTGTAATTGAGAAGCGTTCCCATAAACGATCCAAGTTCGATTATAATCACAAAACCCAGATTTTTAACAACTACCTCAGGTTTCCCTTCTCTCTCTCCCCTCCTCCTCCCACTATTAAATTACAAATCTTGGTAAATTTTTGAATTTTATAGTAATGGCAAATTAAATCAGATATTGATATGTGATTCTTTGAGCATTAATAGGATTACATACGTTTCCCGAAGGTGTGTTTGCCTTAGTCGAGAAGAAAAATAAGGCAACACAATTAGAATTGTGATTGGAACCCCATGATGGTTATTTTGAAATGCTTTGTACAAGCAACTTATACCAAGAGCTGGACACAAACCACCAAATGCAATGTCCAAGCGAAGGAAATTATTCCTAAGAGTTCTCATAAATGATGATTGAGACGAGATTCTGCATTTTTGAACCACGAAACACTCATATTCCATTTCGTAGTGAGAGTAACCAAGTGGCCATCAAAGATTTTGCAGGACAAAGTAATAGAAAAAGAGCTCCAGTACAAGTACTAGGAAAGGAATTCAATAGTAGTAATCCAGGTAAGGACACAATGATAAATATAAGTCTAGAGGAACTATCTCCAAAAACTCTTTGGGATTTAATGTCAATTTGTCATCCTATCCGTCTTATTTTTAAGGTACTACAAGAGGTTGTCTGGGGTTCTTCTTGTAAATCCAAGGAACACTAGACATACATATAGTTCAAAGGATTAGTGATACTGGTAAGTATTGATTTCTTTGTCGCTTTTGAAACAAAAATCTACCCTTTCTCTCTTATTCAGAATAGTGAGATTACTACATAATTTTCCATATTATTATCATACACTCCCATGCCTGGAATATTTACAAATTTATTGCTACCTTTGCAGATATACGTGCCTTAACTACCATAGTCCAAAGGATCACTAGCCCCATTCGTCATTTCCAGGCTTTCTTAGCTAAAAAAAAGATAGTGATTTTGAATAAAAATAAACAAAGAAGAAGATGAGTTAAAGCTATAGTATATATAGCATCCAGTTTCACCACTTTTCAAAATCCTCTCAACTGTCAATTTTTAACAAGTTCTCTATTTCTCTTGTCTCTCCAAAACTTTTTCGCGAACCAAAGGTCTTCACGGGAAAGGCCCCTCTACCTCCAAGGGCAGATGAAAGGTCTATGTACATGGTACATCTTGCCCCTGTTTGGTTTGGTTTTTCACCACTTCGAAGTAGAACATACCTCGTATTTACATCAACATAGTGCAAGAGGCACTTTAACTTTCCACCTCACTAGTTCCACCAAATTGAAAGGTCAAGGTTACTTTAGGGCACTCCAAACAGAAAATGCATAGAAAAATATAGCCGGAGAGTAATAGTACCACAATGCTCATATGGCTGAATCTACTTATACCCAAAGAATTAATACCCAACAAACTATAATCCACTTGCCTAGTGTCTTGTAAAAGAAAAGCTGGTTTCAGCTGGCGGGGTCCAAGGGGCAGAGCCCCTGGGGTCAGCTTGGAAATTTTTTATTCGGGTAATATTGCTTTGTGAAAAATGCATCAGAAATCCGAATTTTTAATTTTAAACCCGGTTTTGGCCCGGTTTTTAAACCCGGTTTAGGGCTCAAAAACTGTCGTTTTGACAGTTTCCGCATTCAATTTTGAATTGGTCATTTTTCGTCTAGAGAGGTACACATAGATTCATAACGATATCTGCATTCTCAAGTTCGATAAACCACTTAATTTTATCCGATTGAGATTTCGATCGTACCGTCGAAATACTTCAATCTGAAAGTGATATACGACTTTCAGTGGATTCCAAGCAAGTTTTTCTAACATGAATCGGTATGAATATAGCAGCCAACAGTACTGTGTAACTAATAAACCTCTCTTAGGTTTATCCACAGTTTATTGGTTATTGGTTATACTGTGGTCAAAGTTTCCTTGACCGTGATTGCAAGAAACCTATATTCCAAAGTCTTAGTTCCCAGAAAGAAGAAAAGGACACTATTTACAAGGCCAGATGTCTAACATTACATATCACATCAACACTTCAGTTCCACTGTCCAATAAGGTTGATTTATTCATTATGATGTCATTCTCACTTAATCCAGCATGCAAGAAGCTTCTAAGGAGAATCTCTTTTGCTGAAGGGGGAGATGTGGTGAGAGGCAGTAACTTAAAACTGCACATAAAATATAATCATGTGCTCAGTAAATAAAAGGTCCCTGCTCATAGAGAAGCTATAGACCATCAAATTACTATGAGTCCATCACATTAACCTGTGACTTTCAGCTCATGCAAGGGGACATGATGGGGTCACACTGTAGCATTATGTACGATGGGTATGGCCTTTCCTTCATACACCACGAGTTGCAGCCCTGCATGTAATTACTTAATCCCGTATAGATCCTGAAATTTGGGTTTGCACCTAGAGGATCAGTGAAAATGTGTTTAGTTAGTTGCTGTCAACTGTCAAGTTCTAAGAGACCAGAGTTCTGTAGTGTGGTACATATTTCTCACCAATAGTACACCAGAAATTTGTCTGTTGCACAAATAGTGGAACTAATGACAATAATCGCCAATTAGTCCAAGTTTTCGCTAGATTTAATGATTTTTTATAGAATTGAGGCGTCAATACAGCATAGAAATCCATATGTTATCATGTAACACCTACTGTTGTACTGTTGCAGAGAAAATGTATTCTGTCTATATCAGTGGAAACAATGATGTTCTTGAGAACTTATTGGACAAGAATAATCCTATCAAAAGATGCAACTTGAAGTTCATTATGTAGCAGAATAGATCACCATCCGTTCTTTCAAACAACATATTTTTCAAATAACTCTTAAACCCCCAACTTAGATAAGCCTAGCTTCTCTTCTCCTTGCATTCAAATTATACATCTCAGGGTTTCACATCATCAAAAATCCTGTTAAATTCATGAACTTGTTCAATATATCCAAGCCTTGCCTCTAAAGCCTAATATGTGTAGTGACTAGTGAGACTTTATCAAAGCAAACAAAAGGTTGACATAGTAGTCAATGATCATATGACAAAACATACTTGACGATGATGCATTCATATCCACGAGTTGGGTCTGCATGCAAAACTTGTACATGTTTCTTATAGATCAGATACTCATGGTGATCATCATTACTAACAGTCTAAGTTATGAAAGTATCATGCCAAATCTTTTAGATGCCTCAAAATAATGTAACTTGATCTTTCTTTCTCATCCTATGCCAGAACCCGCACATTTACAAATCTATTTAGGCATGCATGCAATGCAGCACTGACCTCTAGAACGATATCCATTACTGGCTGCAAACAGTGTTTAATATACATGCCAACATTTGGAAATCCTTTTCCTCTGCCTCGATGCACTACTTAATTTCTCAATGATATCATCAATTCTTTCAACTTGATGAATTTTTTCATTTTTCTCAAAAAGGATATTCTCTATGGAGAATTACCAAGCAAAGTAGATTATGATAAACTCAACCTTCTATCAACCAGATCAGAAGCGTATTTTAAAACCCAACCCCTCGAATAACTATTGTTAGTTGGATGTCTTTTCTACTAAGAACAATATACAGAAAAGCATTGTATCATGCAATAAAACCTATTTACTTGTACAATTTGATGAATCGGTTAACAAAACATAGCTTCGATTTAACGTGAATTATTATAATTCATAAATATAGAAAAAAACATATAAACATAAATGATAGGGAGAACATACGAGGAAGTTCCGGGATCCTCAGTACTAAGAGGAGCATAAGAACGATTTTGCTTTAGCATACCGGCGTTGGCCAACTCAATCACCGCACCGCGGGAGCTAGAAGAAGCTACAGCCGAAGGAGCCCTAACGCTCTTCAATGCATCTCTATACTTCTTAAACAGAAATGTTCTATTCCTTGTCGCCATTGAAGAAAAACTCTCCCAACACAAATTCAAAGAAATAATCAGTAGACACCAAATGTATTCAGAAAAACCAACACAATTTACAGATCCGAATCTGTAACAATCTAAGGGTGAATTATCTTGATCGGAGATCTGCGATGGATGAACAGTTGTGATGATCCATCTAATCTAATCTATTCCAATTGCTTTTCTGCAGTGGTTGAATTGAAACAATTGTCGATAGTTAAGTGATCATCGAATAAATCTAGAGATCGAAGGGAGTGAATTGCTGAAGAAATCGAACCAATTTCCCCCTTTGCGCTGCTTCTTCTTCTTTTCCCCCCTCAATTACTCTGAACCCCCATCGATTATGAGTTTAATGTCAGGTGCAGCCCCTTTTACAATTATAACAAGAAGAACTCAGAACTTTGAGATTGGCCACCAAACTTTACACCATTTTCCATATTGAACACTAAACAATTTTTGCAGCAAAAACAGAAAAAATATATGTTCCATCCTTCCAAAATAATTGTTTATATTTTTAGGGTTGAGTTTACATAGAACCAAAGATTTTTCGTGATACCAGTAAGACCAATTTATATTCATTGATCAACCTTATAAGCTAATAATCTAATAGTCTAAAGTTGCACGGTGACAATTTTATGATTATTGAGAAGTTTCGTGACAATTTTGTGATTATGAATGTTCAGATTGTAGATCTAATCTAAGGATTGATAAATTAGTCTTACAGGTTTCACAAAAAACTCTTAGTCTCACATGATCTCAAGTCTATATTTCTATTTTAATTTATATTAAAATAAATATTTATTTTTAAAGAAATATATGTTTACTTCCTTATTTTATCTTTAATTGTTGATAGAAAAGAATTCTCTCTTTAATATTAAGGATAAAATTATATATTATTTAATTAAAAAATGTAAAATTGCCTGTACAACTTATTTTTTTTAGTTTTAGAGTAACTACATTTTTCATCCCTATGGTTTTACTGAAAATTGTTATATTTAAGGAAAATTTATGCAAATAGTCATTTTATAAAATGACTTTCATTTTTTAACCACTTTACAAATCTGTTTCCTGAAATAATCGGACTTTATGCAAAAGCTCTGTATCTACGTAAAACCTGTAAAACCCAAAATTTCGAGGAATAGATAATTTACCTTTATTATTATTTTTATTTTATTTATATGTATATATATATATGTCAAATAAAAATAGAAATTAAAATAGGTTTAAAATCGGACCAAAAGTGAAGGAAAAGTCAAGCCATGGGTGAAAGTGTAATTTCGCGATAGTTAAAGGGTTGGGTCGGATGTAAGCAGGTCCAAACCAGAAGGACCTGTTTTGTAAATGTGCAACAGACTTGCACTGCAGAAGGGCCTGCTGTCAACTTTGGGTAAGGCAGAAGAGGAACAGGCGGTGCCTGGTCCAAAAGGGGAAACTGTAACCAGCCGGTTGCAGGCTGTGGAGGAACAGTTTCACAGCCTAAAACTCGGGATTCGGCCAATTTGGTCAACTAATAGGCCAAATCGTTTGAGTATAAATTATGGGCACTGGTTTAGGGTCGCCATTCTTTTAAAAGAAGAAGGAAATCGTCGAGTTTGAGAGAGAAAAACCGGAGTTCAAGACCAGGCAAGAATCCCCTGTTTTCCCGTCATTTAGAGGTAAAGGCTCAACCAAAATTTATGTTGTTACAATGTTTAGCTGTACCTTTGACCCTGTGTAGAACTCTATGAAGGCCCACGTCCAAACTTCGCGTTTTAGAGTTCGAATTCAAAGTTTAGATTTCATTTGGTGAATACGCTGTATCGCGTTCTGTTTAGAAACCACTTTAAAGAAGGTTATACAGAAGCTCTGCATGAGAGCTCTGTATCAAGTTATAGGGTACAGAAGCTCTACATGGGAGCTTTGTATCAAGTTATGGTAGCCAGAAGCTCTATATGAGAGCTCTGTATCAAGTTGTGTTAGACAGAAGCTCTGGAAGATAGAGACCAGAGGGACTCTGGCCCTTGAATTATTTTTCCAAGTATGATTTGGGACCAGAAGCTCTGAAAGAGAGACCAGAGGGGCTCTGGTCCTATGTTGAAATAATTTCTAAGTGGCTAAGAACCAGAGGCTCTGGTCATACAGAGGCTCTGGAAGAGAGACAAGAGGGGCTATGTCCTTGATGTGAAATATAATTACTAAGTATGATTCAACCAGAGGCTCTGGTCGTGAGACCAGAAGCTCTAGAAGAGAGACCACAGAGGGGCTCTGGCCTTGGTGATGTATTATTTTCTTATGGTGCACAAGCAGAGGGGCTCTGTCAATACAACCACAGAGGCTCTGGTCCTAAAGGATTTAAGAGTCCAGAGGGGCTCTATCCTTGATGTGGAATTATTTCCTAAATATGGTATACAAGCAGAGGGGCTCTGTCGATACAACCACAGAGGCTCTGGCCTAAAGGACTTAAGAGTCCAGAGGCTCTGTCAATGCAACCAGAGGCTCTGGCCGTCCACAGAGGCTCTGGTCTTCTTCCAGACTTAGTCGTTTAAGGTATATAGCTAGATGATACCCCTTGTGTCTGAACTCACGTTCCTATAATTTTGTTGATGTGAAGAACGTTCTTAAGCATAGTTGACCAAGGTTGACCCTAGTCAACGTAGTTGACCGTAAGTTGACCTTTATGTTAACCTTTGGGAGAAATTAATCATTTATATGCTATTTACTATTATAAATTGTAGGTTGCCAGACAGTGACGTTAGTTAAGCAATCTACATTAACAGGTGAGTCTTCATGAGACTTACAATGGGATGCATACCTATGTATAAATTTATTTTCGAGCATTATATGATTTATATGATGACGGGTACATATACATGATGTTTCAGTTTACATACATGATATATTTTACATGTATGTCATTTTATGATCAGTTGCATGCTATGTGTTTAAGCAGTTTTCAAAAAACTCTAGCATGTTATATCATATGAAAGTTTTATGATCAGTTTTAGCAGGTGAGCATTTGACCAGCAAGTCATTACCAATATAAAACACTACCCGGACAAGTGGGTGATCAATTAAGATTGAAGTATCAGCCCAGGGCGTGTTTGTGACTAAATGACTCACACCCGACAGACAAGTTATGAGATCTCTGTTATTTCAGTGCTGCATGTTTTTCAGAAAATGCATATTTTTGGTACAAAGTTTACAAGTTGATATGTATGATATGAAATGATCTTTACTCACTCAAGCCATGAACTCACTGAGCTTTATAAGCTGACTATAGTATGCATCTCAGGGCCAGGTAGTTCGAGATTGGGTAAGAGCAAAGGACACGCTTAGAGAGTCGCTACTTATCATCTTATGTTTAGTCTTTTGACGTTGTGTTGATCTTTGTAACTTAACCCGGTATGAGGTGGGTTAGAACTTAAGTAAATTTTGAACGGTTCAAGGACCTCCGCTGTAGACAGTTCAAACGGTTTTATGTTAGCCGTCTTTTGGAGTATGTATTTAAGAATTGTTTCAGATTACGTGGCATTCTCACAAAAAAAAATGAGGGTGTTACAAAACCTATTTAAAAAAACAAAATTTTTAGACTTTACGCAAAACGTAGACTTTCTGCATAAAGTCAGAATTTTTTGTTTTTTAAAATGGGTTTTATGTAGATACAAAGCTTCTGCATAAAGTCTCTACATAAAGTCCGGTTCAGGAAAGTGCTTTGTAAAGTGGCTAAAAACTGAGATATTTTGTAAAATGGCTATTGCGCAAATTTCCCTATTTTTAGCCTTGTGCTTTGAAATTTTGGTTTTTATCCATTTTTGTTCTCGTGGTTTACAACTTATTTATGTTTTTGTTCATGATTTACAATATATTGTTGTTTTTCTTTATACTTAGAGGTAAACCACTAACATCGTTGGCCTCAGAAATAAGAATAACAATAAATTGCAAACATGATAACAAAAATTGTAATTTTAAAAAAACAAAGACAAAAGTCGTAATTTTTAATAAATGACAAGAACAAAAATAAGGAAATTAATCGAAATAGCATTTTGATCAATAGGTTTCATCTCTTATCATTTCTCTCCCAAAATTACAAAACAATCATAGAACCGTAATTTACGGAGGTGTCAAAATGTAAAAACGATGAAGTTTTAGAACCAGGTTCGCAATTATAAGGACCAAATATGTAAATTAGTTAATAGATCATTTCCAAATTTACATATTTGGACCCTGCAATTGGTTCAGAAACTTCATTTTTTTTTTCATACACTTTGACCTCTATGCAAATTATGGACATGCCAATTGACGGACCTATGGCTATTTTCAAAATTTTTTGAGAGAAATAGCTAAGAGATGAAACCATGTAATCAAAATAGCTATTTTAATTAATTTCCCCAAAAAATAATAGTTTACTCTCATTTTTAATTTAACTAGTAAGCTACTCGTATGATGTTGCTGTGTGCATCTCGATTTAAAGCTGAGAACATAAAAAGTCAATCATGTTTGATTTGTCTTTTTTTTGTCCATCTCGATGCTAGTGGTATACCAGTAGCTATCCCGCGATGTTGCGTTGTGCATCTTGATTTAAAGATGAGCACTTAAAATGTCAACCGTGTTTCATTTTTGTCTTTTTTTTTGTCCATCTTGATGCTAGTTGTATACCAATATAATGTTGGATGTAAAATTTGAATATATGTAAGCAAAAATACCTAGTACAAATAAGTTTTTACCAAATAAAATATATCTGTGAATCCACATTACATTTTTATGTAGAATTTGAGAAAGAATAAAAACTAATTAATATTAAGGTTGTGAAAAACATGTTTCCTTGTGTGAAAATGATTGGTAGGTGACGTTGTTATAGGATCTTCCTCATATTCATCAGTTCTAATTTTTCCAAGACTCTTTAGGCTAATCGGGGTACAAGCAAGCTGGCGTAGACACCATGGCTAAAATTACAGTGGCTATTAAAGTTTTTTAATTCAAAAATAAAAGTCAGTTGAAAATTTTGTTCTTGATTGCTACCATGATTTTGGAGCTGAAGTTTGTGATTTGTCAATAGATGAATTCTTTTCAATAGCCTTTTCAGATGCTAGCATTGCATCAAATGATGGGAATATACCCAAAAAGTTTTTCTCAATAAAACATAACGATATTCACTGTAAATACTTAAATGATGTTTTTGATTTAAACATGTCAATACATTTTTTAATAAAATAGGAATCAATTAATATAAATAATACCTATTCAATAAAAAAACACTACTTATATAATTATATTAGAAAAATAACAATACAACAACAATTCGTAGGATAATTAAAAATGTAAGTTTACAATAGACATGCATGTATATATAAGAGCATGATGCTC